GCCAAGCTCTTGCGCGCGCACCCCAGCCCGGGCGGAGCGGACGGCCCCTGAGCACGTGCAGAGTGGAGCCTGGAGAAGCCCCCCCCTTTCTGTAGCGACCCCCCCCATTTGGAAACCTGTAGGCAAAGCCCCCCCCCCACCTGCCCGGCTGCCTCCCCTCCCAGGAGCCGGGAAGGCGCCCGCGGGGCGATGGGGCGAAGCGCGGCGGGCGCCCGGTTGCAACAGCGGCGCTGCTGCTTTGCTCTCCGGAGGGTCTCGGAGGGCGGCGGCAGCCCGGGTCGCTCCCGGCCCGCTCCAGTTTGACCGGGGTGGGGGGGGAAGGCGTTCGTTCCTCAGGGCGGCTCGCTTCAGGGTGGAAGGAACAGACCCCGGTTTAATTCCGACGGACGAAACCAGCCACCGTTCACACAACAGATTTAAGCCGCAAACCCTACACGTGAAATCTCAGCGGCGGGCTGGCTTCCCTTTGCGAGCGGGTTCAACCCAGCCGTTCTGAACTCGGCCGACCTCTGGATCTGCGGTTTTCCTACTGGGGAGGGGTCTTTATTAATGAATTAGACTGTTTAATAAAACCGGATTGGTGGCAGCAATAGAGGGCGATATGCAGATCGCCCGATTCCACACACGGGGATGCGAAGCAACCAACTGAAAATTGGGTTCAGAAGGCACAAATGGTTTAGTGATGCCAAAAAATATGTATTTTTTTTCCTCAGAGATTGGAGGAACAAATCTCTTACCCCTCAAATCTGCAAAGGTCCCTGGGAAATGGATGTTTCAAATCGAAAAACCAAATGTGTGAATTACGTATATAATAATGTATACAGTAAGATTACTATGTATTAATAGAGGTTTGCTTAATTAGTTGTAAGAAAGCTGAGTTTGCTTCCTGTTTAGTTGGAAGCTAGCTGGAGGAAGGGAGGAACTGATTAAATACCCAGAGAGGTGACATCTTTGTTGTGACACACAAAAAAAGAGAAGAGGGATCTTGTGATTCTCCAGAATTCATTCCCAAACCTGCAGCTCAGCAAAAGAGGTGCCAAAGGGGGACTTCAAACTCAACTGGATTAAGCAGACGATTTCGAAGGGACGGAGGCAAGGAAAGTGGCCGAACAGATTGGCATGAAACAAATTACAATTTATACCCTGCTGTTCAAAGATAAAGCTCTCTTGAAAAAATCAAATTGATCGATAGGACAAGAGGGTTGCAAGGGGGCTCTGCCCATTAGTCGCCCAATGGAGCAAAGACGACACAGATTCACGGGGGGGGGGGCATACAGAGGATGGGCTTGACCCACCTGTAGAGAGCCACAGCCCCCCCCCCCCGTTATTTATGGCCTTTCGGAGGATGAAAGGACTACTTTGCAACTCCTTGGTATCTTCCTTAGTCTAGAGGGGTCTCAAAGCGTGGCAACTTTTAAGACTTGTGGACTTCAACTCCCAGAATCCCCCAGCCAGCATGTCTTAAAGTGGGCAAGTTTGAGGACCCCTGTTCTATTTCCTTCAAGAGCAGAATGGGACTTATAATAATAATAATAATAATGATAAAGTTGGAAGGAACCTTGGAAGTCATCTAGTCCAACCCCCTGCTCACGTAGGAAACCCTATACCATTTCAGACAAATGGTTGTCCAGTCTCTTCTTAAAAATGTCCAGTATTGGAGCATTCACCGCTTCTGGAGGCAGGTTGTTCCACTGGTTAATTGTCCTCACTGTCAGGAAGTTTCTCCTTAGTTCTAGGTTGCTTCTCTCTTCATCTGTTGCTTCTTGTCCTGCCTTCAGGCGCTTTGGAAAACAGCTTGACTCCCTCTTCTTTGTGGCAGTCCTTGAGATACTGGAAGACTGCTATCCTGTCCCCCCTCGTCCTTCTCTTCTTGAGGATCCTTTGCCCCCAGCAGAAGAGGCGATGGACCGTTGCACCCTGTGCCCACTTGATCAACTGGCGAAGAGTGCCCGGGGTGCCCAACAGGGAAAGCTGGCCCTATTTCCTCTCCAGCACCACAAAGGCCTGGGCCCTGGATGGAACAGCTGCTGGGTTTCAATATGTCCTTTGTCCGATGGCCTCTTTGGCATCCATTGTCTGCACGGCCCTCCTCCCTCACAAAAGTCGCTTTATCAGTAGAGTTAGCAAGGAGAATCCGTCAGAGGAGCTAAACTGATCCCTGCGCACGAGGGGGGGGGAGATCCGATGATTCAGGGACCCCTTACAAATGAGAAGGGATCCTATAAGATAGCAGCTGCAAACAGACCACTGAACCCTACTCTCTTTTTGGACTCTCTTCTGGGGTTAATAGTTACAAGAAGAGCTTTTTCTTACCAGAAATTCTTTTTTTCTGCTTTTGCTTTTGAGAAAAAACAAAAAGGTCCTTTTCTTCAGAAGCCAGACTTAGAAAGGAATTGCGTTAAGGAGAGACAGGTAAAGTGAAGAACTGATCAGCTGTAGATCTCAGTACTGTATATAAACTACAGTTTCTGTAGTTCTGTTACGCAGAGCCAGCCACCTGGAGTGTGCCAATAAACTATAATTGAGCCAATCATAGTTTCGTGTAATAGACAACTTTGTGACTGGCTGCTGCATCCTCACCACCAAATACGCATATTTTGCACAAATATAACAGGTTGACTTTTATCCGGTTTAATATACTCTCATTGTTGATGTTACAATCCAGATTTTTTTTTTTTGAAAGTAGACATTGATGGGTGTTTTGCGTGCCAGTCAAGCTGCATGCTACCCCTGAATAAGACGGGCTGTTCTCAGCTAAGCCCATGGAAGGGTTTTTCATTGCTCTACCTCGGTACGTAAGTGGCGTTTTCCAGTTACAAACAGGACCGAAAACGCCTCTAAAAACTGCTTGATCAGTTAGGAGAGCAGCCTCTCAGCCCCCCCCCCAATGCTTGACTAATGACAAATTTGCTAATAAAAATGTACTTTTGAAGTTACTCTGTTCTTTGTTAATTCTGAACTCATCCCCTCTTCCTTTCTTGTTCTCCGTCAGAATCCGCTTCCCCATGCCCGACCGTGTGGCCACGCGCTCACTTCCTCATTGATGAGGAAGCAAAAGTGAACACGGCAATAATCAAGGCAATGCAAAAGAAGAAGAAAAAAAATCCCAGGATCCTTTAAAAAAAAAAATAACCTCAGTAAGTGCTGTGTGGCGGAAGTCATGGCTCTTATATTCTCTGAGATAGCCCTGTGCAGTTTGAATTTTAAAATGCACTTGTCCCATGCTTTCATTTTAGGAAAAACATGACCTAAAGAGGCTCAGAAACTAGGGCGTGGGAAGATCAATAAGCTCCATGCTGGTGTTGCACACGTGCACACACACACACAGTTCCTCCTCATGGCATAGCCTCTCCCCCCCCCCCACCTGACTTCAGGGAAAGACTGCTGGGGCCACCTTAGCTCAGAATTAGGGGTGTGCAGACCCTGCACGTTTGTGAAAGTTTGGGGTGCTTTGTTGCAAGCAACGTGGTTGGCTTACTGCGGCCAAAACCCAGGACCCCGACTGGCTGCTGCCAAAGCAGCCGAGGTTCTTATAAGCCAAGAGCAAGCCCTGGATTTTGGCTCTGGCTTATAAAAGGAAAACCACCCCCCAGGATCTTGGCCTTTGACCAGATGCCAAGCAAACCATTTCCCTGTATGCAGAGGCTGGGATGAAGGCATTTCATAGACCAGGGCAAACCTTGAACCCAGGGCCTCGTGAAGCTGGCTTGATCGCTGCCAGGAACTGCGGCCGAACAAACCCAGGTGCTAGGCCCCGACTGCAGAAACTAAGCAAGATTCCTTACGGAGGCGCCACTTCACTTGGGGGCCTCCAAACTAATCAATAACTTACTACTTCTCTTACACACTAAAGAATCAAAACCCCACTTCCACGAAAAGTGTGACTACCGGCTCTTTGCGCTGAAGGACCAGGGTGCCTTGCGAGCTACTGCGCAAACTAAGCTTTCAGGCCTCGCATCCTTCCTTGGGGGATGCCTGCACGGAAGGGGCCAGAACCAACACCCCAGTGCCCATTTCCTCCTTTTCAGAAAAGGGGGCTTGGGGCAGAGACTTGGGGGTGGGGCAGGAGAACAGCTTTCCAAGGGCCCGACTGCGGCAGAACGCCACGCCCGGAGTCCTGCCATGGACATGCACGGGACCGAGTGGAAACTCCGAAGTGCGAGCAAGGCAAACGTGCACAAACACTCTTCACTATAAATCTGCCCCCTAAATGGCAAAAGGAGATGGGATAGGACCCCACAAAATGCACGGCCAGAGATCCACCACGGCAGGAGGAAAGAGTTAGCTGCAAGGGAAGGGAAGGGAAAGGGGAGGCAGGAAGGCAGGGAGGGAGGGAGAGCAAGCCCTGGCACTGTTACACCAGAGCGTGAGAGACCCCACAAGGACAAACAGCGTATCAAGAAAGGGGGGCACATTTCCCTGGCAGATGCCCCAGTCAAAGGACTTCCGCCCTGATATTCTCCAGCACCATTTCAGGTTTCCATCTGAGCTGAGCCCGCCTCTCCCCAAGGCCACTAACTGCCCCCCCTCCTCATCCTGGGGAGGGAAGCCTACATTCGGGGATAACTTTCAGCCCCCACTGGACGTCAAGCGGCAGCAGCGGCAGCGACAGCCCTGCCTGCTGCTTCCAAAATAAAACCTACGGCTCGGCCAGCATTTTGGTTTCCACGCTCGTTTTCAACGAGGGTCTCGGGCAAAACATCTGGAGCTGAAAGAGGGCGTTCCCAAGGAAGCAGAAGAGAGGGGGGAGGGAAGGGAGGCCCGGCAGCTGGTTTGGAGATCACTACGGAGAGCCTACGGCAAGCTAGCTAGCAGAGGAAAAGGCGCCTTCACGGCCATCGCTGGCCGAGGGTTTAGCGCAAAGGACCCAGAAACTGGACACTCATCCCTGGCTAGGTTTTCCAGCCCATTTTTGCCAAAACAGACAACTCTCGTTTTGCCCTCCGGACACCCTTCCTGTGCCCAAGAGCAGTCACCTCCGTTGCCCCGGCGTCGTTCGGTCACTTGCCCCTTTTGCTTCTTCCCTTGCGGGAGGGGGGCTTCCCGCTGCCCCCCGCGGAGGAACCCGCCGAAGAGGCCACGGGGATGTTGATCTGCCCGTCCTGGATCTCCTGTCTGGCCTCCGCCGGCAGGTGGTTGATCTTCTGCTGGGCCTCCAGGTAGAACATGACGTCCCGGAGCTGCTCCTGGATCTCGGTGATCTGGAGGTCCTTCTGCTCACAGGTCTCCTTCAGGAGCTTCTCCTCGTCCCGCAGCTTGTTCTGGAGCAGGAGCTGGTTGGCCCGCAGGCATTTGTTCATCTCCTGCTCTTCCTTCAGCTCGCTGGTCAGCTTGGACAGCTTGGTGTTTAGCTGGGCGCATCTGGAAGGGGCAGGGAAAAGGGGAAACTGAGGCGGCGGCAGCCGAAAGCTTTTACTGAGATATAAGAGGAGCAGGAATTTCCATCTGTCTTGCCAAATACACGGCCTCTCTAAAGTCTAGCCACCCCGTGCACTGGGAGCTCTTCCACCCTCCAGGGTTTAATGGTGGTAATCCTCAACTTTTGACAGGTTAGAAGTAGCAGCTGATCCAAAAAAGGGGAATTATGACTCAGATTTGAAATTCTGACAAGTTGCACCCCCCTCCCCAAAATTCATTATGACCAGAACTCAAGCGCAAGGCAACCTGGCCTCATTTACGGCTGTTTGAAGCCTTCTGCAATCAAGTGAGGGCATTTCATGAGGGTTTTGCCAAAAGCTGGCACTTCCACAACTGCGGCATTTGGTTGCTGGCTGTTGCAAAAACAAACCCCGGGTCACGTCATTGGCCTGTTTTGTGACATTAATGGGCAGGCTCCGTTATAGTTGAGGACTCCTGTATGTTGCTCCTAAGGAAGCTAATTCCTGACCAAGAGGAAAACCTGCTGATCCACAGGGGTGGATTAGAGTCAAAATCACAGACAAGATGCATTTTGCACCCGGATCCACTACTAAGTTCTGAAAGTTACCCACTTCCTTTCGAGCGACTGTTTCTCCTTCAGTAAGTCGTTCAGTTTGTGTTCAAGCGAGTCGCATTTCTCAATGGTCTCTTTAAATTTTGTCTTCATGTTATTGATCTGTAAATAATTAATAAAAAAAGGTATTTTAAGGTCCAGATGGGTGCTCTTGCATGGCTCAGAATCTGATTCAGGGTCACCAGGGCCACTGCCTTCTCTGGAGGTTTTCTGGGTTAGCAGTAATCGCCAAGGGAAATGTTATACTTTGGGTTGGGAAACTAACATTTTGTTCGCCGATTCCTTGGAAGAATATTCCTGGAGCTCCCTTTGAAAAGGATGGACTCTGCTTTGGAAGAGGAAACTCAGACTGAACAGAGAGAGACCAGCCCAGGAAGTGGCTTCCTTAGCCCAGCACAGTTACCTCCAAGCTCTTGGGCCCTTCACAATGGGCTTCTTGGCTGGACAGAGAACCCAGGAGCAAAGGGGGAGACTGGAATCTGGGATGCATTCAAAAATGGAAGGAGCCCAGCCTGACCCTGAAACCTGGTTCCTGCTGTCCAGAGGAATTAAAGCATTCAGAAGGAACTTACTTCTTCGGCTGTGTCCTTTTCTATTCGGACGATCTTGTTCTCCCAGTAGATGCGCTGGGACTCCAACTGGCTGGTTAGCAAGTAGGAATACTGAGTTCAGAGGAAGAGAAAAAATGGACAAGCCGTCCTTACTTTCTCTAGAGGAGAGATGGAATCTCATGCCAGAACTCTCCCATCTCCAAGTTACACTCAAGACAGACAACCCTAGACTATGAAAAAGGTTCGACGGAGCCTCCATCAAGTTAGCCGTGAAAATCTCCACACACCACCTAGGAAGAGCAATAGGTACACTTACTTCTAACTGTAAGGCATCAATTTTCTCTTCTTGACACACATCCCCCTCGCATTCGTACTGAACCAGCTTCCCGTCCGTTTTGCTGGCCACCAGACGGTGGACGTAATTGTCTAGGGAAAAGAAAAAACACCAACTGGTCGTCCTGAGGCAAAGTTCCGAATCAAGGTCCAAGTCAAAGCCGCTCAGGTGCCACCTCCAACTACGCCCGCCTTCAGGTGTGTGTTAAGGGAGAAGATTCACCTGGCTGAGAACTTGGAAAGGGGAGCTCGTAGCTCCTTTCCAGATCCGTGCGGCAAAGAGACGGTCTTGGTCACACTTAACTTCTCCCCACCCAAAGACTGCAAGATTTGGTCTTTCCCCCAAAACGGAGCCAACTCTGTTTATAGCAAACCAGACGGACCAACGGTCTCCCCCTCTTGTTAAGGAGGTGGTCCGTTCTGAGGTGTGGCTCACCGGCCTATGGAACAGGGCTTACCGCCGGCGTAGTCCCAGACCCTGTGATTGGTCAGCTGCATGGCGTAGGTGTGTTGTGTCTCCTCAAAGTGCTTGTACGCGTGCCGGCTCACGTAACGCCCGCATCCAATGTGCCCACAGATGAGACATATCCAAAGGTTCTGCACAACAGAAGGAGCAACGCAACTGATGTCCAGGGCAGAAAAGAAGAAACACCCAGATCCTATTTCTGAAGAAGCAACACTGCTGATTTCTGAACAGACATGGACCCAGACTCACTCACTTCTTGGACTCCACATTCAAAACACTTGTTTTCTTCCACAGGCTCTGGAGTCTGGCAGTACCTGCAGACGGGGCAGCTGGAGAAGGGAGACAAGAGAAGGCCCTGAGGATTCCAAACCAGGCCGCTCGGCTTTGACCTTCTGGATCCCTGTTGCCCCTGCTCGGAGCCACCTTCCCTCCCCCGTGAGGCTCTTACGTGGTGTCCTCCCAACGCTGCAGACACTGACTATGGAAGCTGTGGTTGCAGACCGTGGTCAGGATCCCGTTGACCGACTCATCCATCCTCTCCAAGCAGACGGTGCATTTGGGGAGCTCGGTCAGATCCATGACGGGGAGGCTGGCCCCCTGCAAGAGGAGACGACACCTGACCTCAGTGTTTCCCTGGCCATTTGAAGGTATATGGACTTCAACTTCCAGAATTCCCCAGCCAGCAATGAACAGCGACTGGAATCTTCTGCAAGCTGATCTGCCAGGCAGCCTAGGACACCACCAGGTTTCCTCTGGAGTACCAGGAAGGGCTTATAATGCCTTATCATCGCATTATCCCCACTGTCACTCCCCCGATCTGCAGGGCTGCACCTTGCGCTGGAAGACTGCTAGCTAGGAAGAGACCCCACCCCCTAGAAAGGAAAGGGAGAACAAGAGACCACTCACATCTTCTGACTTGAAGACCTCTGCCCTTTCCACATAGACGAGCTGGCAAACGTCCTCTTCTATGGAGTTAAACTGCCGACCGTTGCAAGCCATGTAGAAGCTGTCCGCATCTGCCTGCAGAAAAGCCAGAGGAGAGCGGTCTGGAGGGGCACCAATTGTTGCAATGCATCAGAGGCCCGCTTCCCCCAACCATCCACCCCCTCCTCAAAAAATAAACCATGCAAGTAGAGCAGTTCCCAGGCCACTGGCACTCAATCACAAAGCCCCCGCCTCTCTCAGATTCTGGACTTTCTAGTCCCGCTGCCAATAACTTCTAATTTTCCCTGAGTTGCAAGAGCAGATACGCAGCGTAGGTGTTTCTGGATCAGAACCAGATAGGAGGCGTGGAAGGAGCCTTCAGCCCAAAGCTGGAGTCGCTCTTTGTTCTTACCTGGGTCCGGAACTTGATGAGGACCATGTACTGGTTTGGGGTGGAATCTCGGATGATTTTCATGTGTTCAATGACATCATAAAAAGAAGCCACAAACTTCATGAGGTCGTGGCTGGTCATTGTGGCAGGGACTGTGAGAATACACAGCATGGCGCTACGCCGCACTTCTTCTTTTAATGAGGTCATTTTGCTGCACAAGGGAAGAATTAGACCAGTCAGCAAGTCCATCCTTTTTGTTTCGACTCTATAATGCAGTGTTTGCCAATCTCAACTAATTTAGGATGTCTGGACTTCAATTCCCAGAGTTCCCCTTCAGCCACAGCTTTTCCTTCTCAAAGGAAGAGGAATTTCATAGTAAGGGCAGCTTTCCAGATCCTTTAAAGCAGGGCTCTCCAAAGTTGGCAACTTTTAAGACTTGTGAACTTCACCTCCCAGAATTCCCCAGAGTTAAAGTTCACAAGTCTTAAAGTTGCCAACTTTGGAGGCTCCTGCCTTAAAGCGTTTAGGGTGAGTCCTGCTTTCTTACTTTGTCTTGTACAGGTGCATAATGCCGTGAGCTATTTCAACAGAAGGATTCCCACTGAAAAAGGAAATCTGGTCAGGGAGCTGCTTTGACGGAGAATCCGGTGTACTCCCAATGCTTCCACTCTGGCCGTCCTGATTATTGGGATCCTCAGGGGAGGAAGCCTCCGCTGCGCCAGCTTTTTCCATCATCGATTTCACCTCATCTTTTTCACAAATCCAAAAACAGGCAAGTTAGAAACCTGACACTTTCCAAACTGCAATCCATATTTAATTTAAAATATTTTCTCATTAAAGGGCAAGGCACTGCCTTGAGGCAGCGGGCAGAAGAGTGGCAGAAAAATTCTTAAAAATGTTTTATCAGTATATAAACAGCCCCTTAACATTTTGAATCCAGAACAGCTGCTCGGAAGATCAGCTCCTATTTCTGAGCGATGCTGTATGAGAAGACCAAACCTTGCCAGTAACAATTCAGAGTGACGTATAATTTCTGATCATTGATTCCTATGGTCATACAAAATTAATAAGCAGACTTCAAGAACCACTTGAAATGGTGTCTTGCGAACAAGCTCACAAAAAGTTGCTTGCGACTGAATCTGTTCAACCACCTGACTGCCCACCTGGCTCTGGAAAAAAAAAGACCCTCACATTTCTTGCTTAAGCAGCTGGATGCCAAGCTGGCCTCAGAAGGCAGGTTATGTCAGCCCTTCAGCTGCTGCTTATTAAGCAGGGAGGGTGGATGGATGGGTGGACGGACAGACATATACACATATATACAAATATACACCATGAAATAAACATAATTCCAATCAAATAGTGCTTATGCCAACCACCCTCTACACTCTAGAGAAAGGCATCGTTCCTCCCGCTTGGCATCGGGGCACAAAGCAGCACGTCACAGGTACCTGGATCCGGCTTTATCGTCTCAATGATCACGTCCGTCATCTCCCGCCGGCCAATGTGTTGGTGGATTATGGCCGCCCTCTCCACGGGCGCCTTGCCCTCCAAGCTCACCGAAGCGGCCGCCAGCGACGTCTCCTGAATGGCCTCATTAGACATCTCAGTAGCTGAGAAGCAGGATTGATGTGGCTATTAAAGAGTTTCCGCACAACACAACCTGGCCAAACCAGACCAGCTAAAGCCGAGCTAGTTAGGCCACAGGCTGTTTGGACACCTCCCTTCCTCCCCCACTTCCACCTTCATCCTTTGGCCTATAAAAGGGCTGAGAGCCGAGTTTGCCAGATGTGTGTGTGTGTCTGTGTGTGTGTGTACAGATACACACACATACACAAAGAGGACCAGACAAACCTTGCTCTAAAATTTCTGGGAGTTGAAGTCCGCCCACCTTAACGATTTAGAATCTAAATCGTTAAGGGGGCGGACTTCAACTCCCAGAATTCCCCAGCCAGTTTGGGAACGTTAAGGCGGGTGGACTCCAATTCCCAGCTGTCCTGGCTGGGGGATTCTGGGAACTGAAGTCCACCCGTCTTAAAGTTCCCCAGCTTGAAAAACGCTGATTTACCCGGCCGAGACCCCCCTGGCAGCCCCCCTCGCCCGCTCTCCTGCCCCCTTTAGCCCCCTTCCCTGTCCCCACCTCCCCCCCCCCCCAGCCTCCCTTCGGCCGCCCCGAGGCCCCCCGGCCCTCACCGTCACCGCAGTAGGAGAAGCCGCCCGGCACGGGCGAAGACTCGGCCAGCTCCAAGCGAAGGACCACCAGGGAGACGCTCATAGGGCCGCCCCGCGGAGGGTGCCGGGCCTGCGGGGCCGCAGCTCGGGCGGGAGGGAAACGGGGCAAGCGAGCCCTCCGCCGCCTCGGACTGCCGAGCGCTTCCGCCTCTCCGCCCTCGTGACCTTTGACACGGGGCCGGATGGCGGCGCGCAGGCGCCGTGGGCCGCAGGGGGGCGCGCGGCCGTGAGGTCACGCGGGGGGCGTGGCCGTGGCCGACGACGCCTCCTCTTCCGAACCCGGAAGGGCTCCTCTGGTCCGCCGTGGACGCGCTTCGGGTCAAAGGTTTCCCCGGACGGGGGGTGGGTGGGAGTGGAGCATGGGACGTCTTGGCTGCGGAGGATGGGCGGTGTAGTTGCCCCCAAACACGATGTCCTTTGCTTTAAAGAGCCCTGATTGACTCTGGAGGAGGAGGAGGAGGGGAGAGGCAGAAGAGGTGGCTGGCTGGGGACAATGGGAGTTGGAGTCCAGCGCCTCGGTCGGGGGCTAGGAAGGCTGAGGTCGGCCGGGGAAGCCCTTCCTGGGGGTCGACTGGCCGGAGATGCCAAGCGGGATCTGCCCCCGGGTTCCCCCTGTGTTCTGGGGTGACCCCTGATCTTCTGAAGCTGTTTTGAGAGCCTCTAGAATAGATAGAAGATGCTACTATAACAGTATTTCTCGGCCACTTAAAGGTGGGTGGACTTCAACTCCCAGAATTCCCCGATCAGCCGGCACTGGCAAGGGACCTCTGGGTGTTGACGTCCACCCATCTTCAAGTGGCCCATAAGAAGCGATGGGATTTTTAACAAATCTAGACAATTAAAAAAATATACCCAGTATTACTAAGGTAATATATTCCATGTCAATATATGCTCCAATGTTCTGCTTTGCACAAGTTTCTGAAGCTCTTCCCTCTCCCTTGACACGCAGTGCCAGAGCATGGGTTTCGGAAGAATTTTCCAAGCCTTTTACGGCTGCCCTGCGTGGAAATTACAGATCCTTCGGTCTTCCTGGCACAAACCCGCAGACGTGGCCCGGTGGAGGAATTACGCATCCTGTCCCTACAAAGCGGTGATCTTTGACATGGGTGGCGTTCTCCTTCCTTCCCCATTCAAACTGGCAATGGGTAGGTGATTTTCCCAGAGTTTATACCATCACCTTCTCTTCCCTCTGCTGGTTCTGTTTGAAATTTCTCTGCTTTCAGCTGTTGAATTTCTCCCACCCTCTGGAGCAACAGAGAGAATCATTTTGAAACTAAAAATGGTTTCAGTTGGTTGAGCACCAGCTCAAACCGTAATTCCTGAACCTTCCTCGGTGTTGGTTTTGCTCCTGTGCTAGTTAATTGCACTACACACTACATTATTCTTAAATCTTTTGTGTCCTGAGAGATACCTATGACTTCCTGCCTTTATTTAGATTGGGAGATTCGGAATCGTGTCCCCATCGGCACCATCAAAGAGGCCTTAAGATCTGGGGGTGAGGACAGGCCCTGGATGAGATACATCAGAGGGCAGCTGAAGTGGGCAGAATTTCTGCACGAGTTCAGACAACAATGTTCCAGGATTGTAAGCCAGTTTTTCCCTTTGATCCCTGTGGGATGAGTAAAGGAGGAGGTCTCGAGCTGAACGTATGTGGAAAGGACAGTCCCATGGATGAACAGTCTCAGTGTTAATGTCCTTTTTCTCAACAAGCCCATCTTGTTTTTCCATAATGCCTCGAGTTAGAGTGGATGAGCTCAGCCAGAAAAGATCCATCCCTATGTTGGGAATTTAAAACAGTTCATGGCTACTATGCGATCCCAGAAACTATGCTAGTTTTACTTCTAACTAAAAAAAGGGGAAAAAAGAAAAACTCTACAAACTGAATGTATAAACTACGTAAGATAATTGCTGCTTACTTGTTCACTGAAAAAAACAACCCCATCCAACATGTCTCTTTCCCTCCCCAGGCAAATGCCTCTGTTCCAGCGGACTCTTTCCTTTTTGAATTAACCAGGCAACAGATGTCAGATCAGCTCCCTGCTATGACCGAGGCCGTGAAGGGCATCAGAGCCAGAGGCCTCAAGACGGCCGTTTTGACCAATAACTTTTATCTAGAGAGTGGAGAGAGTTTTCTGCCTATAGACAGAAAGCAATTTGATGTGGTAAGTTTTTGTGCTCCACAAAACATCCCACTCCTTGAGGCCATTACTTTATTACGATAGTTATAGTTTAGTAATCGTGTTTGCCTAAACTTGCATAGAAGTACACAGTATTCATGAAGGAAAAAGAACTTTATTTTTCTCTACATTGCTCATATAATGGAATATCTTAGAAAGATTCAGTATCTTGGCTGTTTGGACCCCTCAGATCTCCTTGTTCAACTGATGATTACCTAACTGCCTTTACTAAAAGTAATATTTAAAAAAAATTAATCAGGAGCCTCTGGTTAGCCAAAGTTCTTACTCCATTAATCAGCTGGATTAAGGAGTACATTCTGTTATTGCTTGGTTTATATCTTTAAAACCATAAGCCAAACCTTGAAGGAAGAACATAACTCCGAACCCTCGGACGAAACATAAGAAGCCATTTGCTTTTTCGGTACCGTTTACTTTATTTCAGAATCCCTTGCCCACTCCCTCCTGCCTGATCACCTGGCTGTTTGGCTTTTGTCTCCCAGATTGTGGAATCTTGTCGGGAAGGGGTGTGTAAACCCGACCCTCGCATTTACCAGCTGTGCTTGGAGCGCCTGGGTGTCCTGGCCCAGGAGTCCGTCTTTCTGGATGACATTGGACAGAACCTGAAAGCTGCCAGCCAACTTGGCATTAAGACCCTAAAGGTGAAAAAGTGAAGGTTTAAAACTAGCCTTCCCAGAGCTGACCCAACCTCCTCCTTCAGTTAGACTTTTTCTTGAAACTATTCTCTAGATATAAATATCTAGCCCTACGTTTTTGTCATTTGTTCCCAGCAGAGATATTTATGCTTGCTTTATGCTTGGAAACTGTGCTTTAAACACCGAGTTCTTCTAAGCATCTTCGCTGCTTCAGCTCCTCAGTTCCTTCCTCTGCTCAGGTCGAGGATGTGGACTCTGCAGTTCAAGAATTGGAGACCTGCCTTGCTTTTCCTTTGTGTGGTGCGATTCCTTACACGTCTCCTGTGAGGCCGGCCATGGACATCCCCACAGCGCCTCTGCAAAAGTATCTTGAAAACCTCTTGGGGGCCCAAGCGAAAGGTACAGCGCTGATATTCCCATTTTGCGTGGGGAGTCTTTGCTTGGAATACTCAGGGGTGCTCCCGTTAGCAGCTCATATAAAAAACCAGTGAGCGTTAATGGCAGAAGGGTGCAGATTAGGGCCAGGCTCATCTGGGCTGAAGCCCCATCTCAGCTCGCAATCTGTGGGAGACGAGGGGCCAGTCCCCTTCTCAGGGCTCTCTCAGCTTGCAGAGTTGCAAAGATCAAATGGAGGGAAGGTCTCCTGGGGCTCTCGTTCACGTGGGCTGTTGCTGTCCTCTTCGCTGCAACTTTGCAGGTTCTCTGGAGCTGCGCCAGTTCAGTCACGGGCAGTCCAATCCGACTTACTACGTCGGATTTGGGGACCATCAGCTGGTTCTAAGGAAGAAGCCGCCGGGCAAGCTCTTGCCTTCTGCTCATGCGGTGGAGAGAGAGTACAGGTGAACAGCTCAGCAACGATAACGATAAATAGACACCCAGGTTCCCCATTATGTGGAAATGCTAACAAGGAAAGCTCCCAGCCTTGTGGATTGCCATGTTCGTTGTTGATGTTAGTTGGCAGTAAGAGGCATCATAAGCCAAGACATTGCCACACATACCTATGATTAATATTTTATTTTCTTCTTCTTCTTCTTCTTCTTCTTCTTCTTCTTCTTCTTCTTCTTCTTCTTCTTCTTCTTCTTCTTCTTCTTCTTCTTCTTCTTCTTCCTCCTCCTCCTCCTCCTCCTCCTCCTCCTCCTCCTTCTTTCTCCTCCTCCTCCTTCTTCTTCCTCCTCCTCCTCCTCCTCCTCCTCCTCACACAGCACTTCTTCTCCATCTTAATTCGCCTCTCCTTCTGTTGGGTAGGGTTCTGAAGGCCCTCAGGGAGACTGGCGTCCCTGTTCCAAAAGTCCTGGCCTTATGTGAAGATTCAAGGTGAGTTCTGGGCCTTTGCATGTGCTGGAGTTTTGGGGGGCTGAAAAGGTCAGGGTCCTCTGCTAATGTCCTGTTGTTGCTCTAGTGTCATCGGCACCCCCTTCTTCCTGATGGAGTACAGCCCCGGCCGGATCTTCAAGGACTATTCTCTTCCAGAGCTTGAGCCCCACCAGCGGACGGAGGTTTATAGTGCCATGAGCAGCGTCCTCTGCAAAATCCACAGCGTGGACATCAAAACCGTTGGTTTGGAGGATTATGGAAAACATGGTATGTAAAGCCCCTCTCTGCTGCTCCCGTGCAGGAACTCTCGCATTTGGGGTTATCTTAAAATAAAATTGGGTCCTCTGATGGAAAGAAAACTGAACATTGATTTTTGTAGGATCTTTTCAAAGAACGGGATAAGCACATTACTTAACGGAGATAATAATGTTCCAGGAAATTACGCCCAGCGCCAAATCCAGACATGGAGCAAGCAGTATCGAGCCACGGAGACCCACACAATCCCAGCCATGGAGAGGCTCCTCAAGTGGTTCCCCTCCCACCTTCCAGCCAGCGAGCAGCTCTCGATTGTTCATGGAGATTTCAGGTATGGGCTCACCTGTCGTGTTTCTACTGGCTTTACAGAAGTCTTTTCAAAAGCAGTAAAGTAGGAAATGCTTTTTAAAATAAGGGAATGGAGACTTGGCACCAACTCTCTCTGTGCTGCCAGTCCTGAAATATTTCAGAATGTATGCTTTCCAACCCATGAAACTAACCCGCCTTTGGTTCTCAGCTGAGGCAGGATCTTTGATTTTCTCTGCAGAATGTGCACCCATTGGAAAAGGGGGGGCACCCTTTGTCCTCACTCTCAGTCCCCTCCCCCCCCAAACAACTGGCTTTGCAGTTCATTAAAGCTAGGGAAGAGAACCTGGACTTCAACCACAGCGGCCCCTAGAAACCTCCAAACCAGAAGAACAGACTTAATTTAGTTTCCTTAAAAAAAAAAGAAGGAAACTTCCTCCAAAACCTGTCGTGTTTTGGGATCCTTCCCCAACTCGTGTGACCCCTGGTCATCAGAAGAGCCTCCACCTGGCTCTGCAGCAGTCTTCCCCGCTCTGCCCTGTTGGAGTTACAGTGCCAGCGTGGCCAAAGATGCCCTTGAGCGACTGACCTTCCCTGCAGCTGCTGCTTTTCCCTTTGCAGGCTGGACAATCTTATCTTCCACCCCGAGAAAATGGAAGTGGTCGCTGTTCTGGACTGGGAGCTCTCCACCCTGGGGAACCCTCTCTGTGATGTGGCCTATAACTGCCTGCCATATTACCTGCCCTCGGATTGCAGCATCATAAAAGGTGCCCGGCTGTTCCCAAGGGCTGGGGGTAAAGGGAGGGGTCCCAATTCCACAGCAGTGGGGACTCACAGAGCTGGAAGGGACCTCGGAGGTCTTCCAGTCCAACCCCCTGCTCAAGCAGGAGACCCGATCCCCTTCCAGACAAGGGGCTGTCCGGTCTCTGGAGCAGAGAGGGGCCATGAAGGCCTTTGCCCAGTAAGTTGATGGGATGCTGGAGAATCCTACACAAGCTGGCTTATAAGGCCCAGGTGGGCAGCTGTGGGTATCCTGCCACAGATATTTATAGAGGCTCCGCCTTTTCCTTCTGCCTTCACCTTTCCTCTTTGCATTCACGGGCAAGGAAGAAGGTAGCAAGATGTCACCATTCCCATCTGAGCCTGGGCCGGGCCTAACTACGGCTTGCCTCTTTCAGGCTTGAGTGACTGCGATCTCGGCCAGCTGGCCATTCCCACGGCAGAGGCCTACTTGCAGATGTACTGCCGTCACCACGGCAGCCCTCCGATCGAGAACTGGAACTTCTACATGGCCTTCTCCTTTTTCAGAATGGCTGCCATCCTGCAGGGGGTCTACAAGCGCTTCCTCTCAGGTGAGGCTGCTCTGTAGGTTTGTGGGTGCCAGGATGGGGAGACTGCAACCCCAGAAGGCAGACCAAGTGGGCCGCTCGCATTTTTCCCCACGCAGGCCAGGCCAGTTCAGCCGCCGCCGAAAACTTTGAGAAGCTCCCGGAGTTCATGGCGGACCTTGCCTGGGACTTTGCCACCAAGGAAGGCTTCCGGATCTTCAGGGGGCTTCCCACTTCTAGACCACCCAGCAGGACGTTCAGGACCTGGGCTGGCCCGAGGCTGCTCCTAAAGAGAGGCTGCGCCACGCTGAGTCCTGCATCCAAGTCCCACCTGATCCTCTCTCCGGACGGCCTGCCGAGCCGCGTCCAGGAACTGTACCACAAGCTGAAGAAATTCATGGATTCCCACATTTACCCATCTGAGCAGCTCCTGCGAGATCACCAGTCTTCCCCGAGTAGGTGGACTCCCCATTCTCTGGTAGAAGAGCTGAAGGCAAGTCCTGGTCCTTGAGAAACAGGGCCAACCTCTTGGTTGGTGGCCGCAGTGAGACGGCCTTAAAAAGGGACGTGGCGTTTTGCAAAATCGCTTGACTAAACGGGGGGGGGGGGGGAAAGGCCCCC